CCTTCCCACCAAAGGTGGTCCCTATTTTTCTACTTGCATTTTTTTAACGTGCTTTCAAACGGCTAGGTTGGCAGAAGCTGAGACAAGTCACGGGAGCTCACTCCATTACGTGGCGCTAGGGATTCGAACCGCCAAACTGCCAGCCTTTCTGATCGACAAGCTCAGCGTCTTAGCCTCTGAGCCACCGCGTCCCTCTCGGTTTTATAATAAGCAACAGCAAATTGGAAAATTTTTCAGTAAGAGCTGGAGTTCCTTCAATCAATCAGGCTAGAGCTGGAAGGGACCTTGGAGGTCTTCTAGCCCAACCCCCTACTCAGGCAGGAAACCCCACTTCCAATCTGCAGTTGGCAATCTATCTAAGCGTGACTTTGTAGGATCTTTGAAGAAGGTGGTTTACAGATAAGAGTGGGCAAACTCTGGGCTCTGGCCTGCTATCGTTTAATGCTAAAGTTGTGGCCAAACAATTCCGAAGGTCTCAGTTGGATGCCAGAAGGACAAATTTTCTCACCCGGGGCTAATTTTAAAATCGCTTTTAATGGGCAAAGAAGACCCAACCCGGTGACTAATTTGGCACTTGCAGAAGAAACGTTAAGAGGGATTTATGGCAAAAGACCCCAAAGGCCGCAGTTACAACAAACTTCAAAGATAAAATATTGTTTTAAATTATCTTTTTCAAACGGCTACCAGCAGATCTGGTTAGAAAGTGGGGGAAGTCAGCCATTCAGGCTTAAGATTCACGGATCATCCATTTGGCCCCACCCAGGACCCCAAAAAGGCACCCAATATGTTTATGCTTATCCGGTTTTTTTTTTCTACAATGACTGGGAAGGTGGCGAACCTGAGATCCAAGCAGGGCGAACTGGATCCTGTCTGGACCAAGAGGAGCCTCTCTTCCTTCAGGGCAGTTCTAGAGACAGAGAGAGGGAAAGAGGGGGGGGGTGTCAAATGGCAATACTCAGCCCACAGAGAAACGTCCAGCGAAGTGGCCCAGCTTTAGTGCAACTTTACAAAGAGAGATGGTTAGAAAGACGGGAGGATCTTGGTAGAAGAGAAACGGGGGGATGGGGGAGACACAGGTCGGCGGTGTAACTTTCCCAGAGCCAATTTTAAGGGATCCCTTCCTTGGGAACCAAGTGCTGCTTTATATGTGATCAAACCAAATTTGCAGGTGTGGAAATTGTGCGTATTTCACTTTCTAACATCTATTATCTATTATCCAATCCATTCATCTATATCATCTATCTTATCTGTATTATTTTACCTATCTGTTCATCTCTATTTAATCTATCATTTATCTATCCTATCAATTATCTCTATCTATCATCTATATCCCATCTATTATCTAGCTACATCTATGTCTGTCTATCACTTATCTATCTGCCTATCTTTCTATCCTATTAACGCTCTCTCTCATCTATGTATATCCTATAAAATCTATTATCTATCTATCTATCTCTCTATCTATCTATGTCTGTCTATCAATAATCCATCTCTCCTATCAATTATTATCTAGCTATATCTATGACTGTCTTATCAATAATCTATCTCTATATCTCTATCATCATCTCT